TTTGTTTCATTTAATTTACTGACACGATAAAAAATAAGAGAGATTGAAATTTCTTTTAATATCATCAGTATAATATATTTTCCAATTTATTCGTATTATTATTGATTACTGGTGGAACAAAAGTACAACCGTGAATTTTCGACTACGAAATAAGGTTGGTCAAAGAGCGATTTAAAAAAAAAATGCTTGCCTTTGAATTCTTTTGAATCACAAATGAAGGTTCTTCCGCTTTGTGCGTTCGTTTACTGAAGACATTTCGTTGCAAATTCCTTCAAAGCAAATCACGATCGCGCGATTCAAACGCTTCGCGGGAATTTTCGCGCGCGTAGCCACGCATTATTATGTAGAAATCAATTACGACGGGTTATATATAGAAAGTAAGAGATAGAAAAAGGCTGCAGAGAAGAAAGTTTAATTGTTAATTATTAATTTAGATTAATTATTAGTTTAGATATTTTAATTTCAATTTCATAAAATCTATGCATGAGAAAGAGAAGAACAGCATGAATACTGCTGCCCTTCCTCATCTATCGTTAGATTTTTACAAAATTGAACTTGAAATATCTTCTAAACTAATCATTTTTCGACATACACAAGTTAATACTTTTTTTTTTATATAGAAAATACCGAGTATAAAAAAAAAGTGGCATCTGTAGTTTCCAAGTGCATCGTTGCATTTACAGAGAAAAAAGTAGATGATCAATTTTCTTTTTTCTCTTACTATTAGAACTGCGAGAATCATCCTGTGTAATAATTTATGTCCATTCTTTAACGCCAAAAATAAATAGTTTTAGATTAAACGATATCGCTTATCGCGTTGAGCGGACAAACAATTTTAGCTGCGTCATCGAAATGATTGCAAATCAATTCTCAATTGATAATCAAATCGAAATGGTAATCAAATTCTCATCGACATGTAAAAGTCATCGTCTCATTAATAATTAATAAATAAAAAAATATATTTCTAGACAGATCGAATACAAAAAGTTGTTAAATCTACGAAGCACGCAAATACTTTTCTCGTAAATATTGTAGCACAACACAACTGCTGAAAGTAGGCGGAGAGAACTTAGAAACCGTTAGACGAAACTTCAAATGATCATTACCATAGATGACTGTGGTGTCGAAAATCTTCTTTCTCTTTTGTAACAGCCTGCCCGAGCCTAACGTAAACAAGATCCTTAGGAAATAATTTACGTCAAATAGTACATAGAGAACAAGTAACACTGTGACAAGGCAGGCACACACCATTTTTCTCGAATGGTAATAATTTTCCGGAAGACGATGTAAGAAAGGAGAGAGAGCTCTTGACGTTCACGTAGCCACAGGCCGAGAAACACTGCGTGCGGTTACCGTGAAATTCCAAACTGCGAGGCCGCTTCTTATACTATACGATGCTGTAACCGGTTTCTCGTTCGATGGTCGATGACGTTTCGTTCGGAACTGCGCTTGCTTACAACATCGACGCGGTCAATGTCACGTATGTATCTCGAAAATTGTGATACTTTGATTTTCGATTATCGTGATTGTTGTGATGAAATCGGCGACTCGAGCGCGATAACTCGTCGTGACAAATTAATCGCTCGACCGTTTGACACCCATAGCAAATAAATAGGTGAGCCGGCGAAAGAACTTTTGATACTGTGATTTTGAACGTGTATCGTAACAATTGACAATTATTAAAAATCAAGCTAATTAGTGTGGATGCAAATAAATGTCTCTCGTGCACTAAATTCGTCACATTTAATTTAAAAAAAAAAAAGAAAAAACAGAGTAAAGAAGATATCTAAAAATATATACGTCGTTCACTTCGTATATATGATTATATCATCGCTCGGAAACATTCGTCGATGAATATATGAATGCCCTGACAATTTGCCTTGGATCACGAGAATGAAGTGTGTAAATCTCACTGTCATGGTTGCTGCAGTAACGCATGCACGGGTTCCTTTGAACATTACAATATCTTCGATTTAATCACCGTTGTCAAATTGCGGTGTCATCTTTTCGAAAAATGAAGAAGAAAGTGATACATCCCCCAACGAAAGATCATTAACTATCTAAGGAATATTTATTTTTTACTCCTGAATAATGGTATTTTCAACGACATGACCAACACAGTATTATCTGACAAATATGGCATTATTATCACCTAGAATTATAATAACGTCTTCACGTGT